TTTTCGAACGCGGAACCATTATTTCGTGTGGATAACATTTTTTATCGCACGATCGTGTTTTGAAGCCAAATCGTATACGTTTAAAAAAATCAAGGAAAAAAAGAAAAAATAGGGGAAAAAGTGAAAACGCAAGCGACGTCTCCGAAAAGAATTTTTTTCGAACACAGTACCATTATTTGATGTGGGTAAAATGTTTTTATCGCACCATCGTGTTTTGAAGACAAATCGTATACGTTTAAAAAAAGCCAAGGAAACGAAGGGTAAATAAGGGCAAAAGTGAAAACGTAAGCGAAGTTTCCGGTAAGACTTGTTTTCGAACACGACACCATTATTTGATGTGGATAACATATTTTTATCAAACCATCGTGTTTTGAAGCCAAATTGTATACGTTTAAAAAAGTCAAACAAAATAAGGGTAACTAGGGGCAAAAGTGAAAACGTAAGCGACGTCTCCGGAAAAACTTGTTTTCGAACGCAGAACCATTATTTGGTGTGGATAACATTCTTTATCGCACTATCATGTTTTGAAGCCAAATCGTATACGTTTAAAAAAGTCACGGAAAAAAGAAGAAATAGGGGAAAAAGTGAAAACGTAAGCGTCGTCTCTGGAAAGACTTGTTTTCGAACACGACACCATTATTTGATGTGGGTAAAATATTTTTATCGCACCATCGTGTTTTGAAGACAAATCGTATACGTTTAAAAAAGTCAAGAAAATAAGGGTAAATAAGGGCAAAAGTGAAAACATAAGCGACATTTCCGGTAAGACTTGTTTTCGAACACGACACCATTATTTGATGTGGATAACATATTTTTATCGCATCATCGTGTTTTGAAGCCAAATTGTATACGTTTAAAAAAGTCAAAGAAAATAAGGGTAACTAGGGGCAAAAGTGAAAACGTAAGCGACGTCTCCGGAAAAACTTGTTTTCGAACGCAGAACCATTATTTGGTGTGGATAACATTTTTTTATCGCACCATCATGTTTTGAAGCCAAATCGTATACGTTTAAAAAAGTCACGGAAAAAAAGGAGAAATAGGGGAAAAAGTGAAAACGTAAGCGTCGTCTCCGGAAAGTCTTGTTTTCGAACACGATACCATTATTTGATGTGGGTAAAATGTTTTTATCGCACCATCTTATTTTGAAGACAAATCGTATACGTTTAAAAAAGTCAAGAAAATAAGGGTAAATAAGGGCAAAAGTGAAAACGTAAGCGACATTTCCGGTAAGACTTGTTTTCGAACGCGACACCATTATTTGATGTGGATAACATATTTTTATCGCATCATCGTGTTTTGAAGCCAAATCGTATACGTTTAAAAAAGTCAAAGAAAATAAGGGTAACTAGGGGCAAAAGTGAAAACGTAAGCGACGTCTCCGGAAAGACTTGTTTTCGAACAGGGCACCATTATTTGATGTGGATAAAATATTTTTATCGCACCATAGTGTTTTGAAGACAAATCGTATACGTTCAAAAGAATGAAGGAAAATGAGGGTAAATAGGGGAAAAAGTGAAAACGTAAGCGACGTCCGGAAAGACTTGTTTTCGAGCACTGCACCATTATTTAATGTGGATAACATATTTTTATCGCACAATCGTGTTTTGAAGCCAAATCATATAAGTTTAAAAAAGTTAAGGAAAATAAGGGTAAATATGGGCAAAAGTGAAAATGTAAGCGACGTCTCCGGAAAGACTTGTTTTCGAACATAGCACCATTATTTGATGTGGGTAATATATTTTTATCGCACCATTGTGTTTTGAAGCCAAATTGTATACGTTTAAAAAAGTCAAGGAAAATAAGGGTAAATTGGGGTAAAAGTGAGAACGTAAGTGACATCTCCGGAAAGACTTGTTTTCAAACATGGCACCATTATTTGATGTGGATAACATATTTTTATCGCACCATCGTGTTTTGAAGGCAAATCGTATAAATTTAAAAAAGTCAAGGAAATGAGGGTAAATAGGGGCAAAAGTGAAAACGTAAGCGACGTCTTCGGAAAGACTTATTTTCGAAAACGGCACCATTATTTGATGTGGATAAAATATTTTTAGCGCACCATAGTGTTTTGAAGAGAAATCTTATACGTTTAAAAAAATGAAGTAAAATAAGGGTAAATAGGGGCAAAAGTGAAAACGTAAGCGACATCCGGAAAGACTTGTTTTCGAACACTACACCATTATTTGATGTGGATAACATATTTTTATCGCACAATCGTGTTTTGAAGCCAAATCGTATAAGTTTAAAAAAGTCAAGGAAAATAAGGGTAAATAGGGGCAAAAGTGAAAACGTAAGCGACGTCTCCGGAAAGACTTGTTTTCGAACACGGCAACGTTATTTGATGTGGATAACATATTTTTATCGCACCATCGTGTTTTAAAGCCAAATCGTATACGTTTAAAAAATTCAAGAAAAAGAAGGGTAAATAGGGGCAAAAGTGAAAACGTAAGCGACGTCTCCGAAAAGACTTGTTTACCAACACGACACCATTATTTGATGTGGATAAAATAATTTTATCGCACCATCGTGTTTTGAAGCACAATCGTATACGTTTAAAAAAAGTCAAGGAAAATAAGGGTAAATAGGGGCAAAAGTGAAAACGTAAGCTATGTCTCCGGTAAGACTTGTTTTCAAACGCAGCACCATTATTTAATATGGATAACCTATTTTTATCGCACCATTGTGTTTTGAAGCCAAATCGTATACGTTTAAAAAAGTAAAGGAGAATAAGGATAAATAGGGACAAAAGTGAAAACGTAAGCGACGTCTCCGGAAAAACTTGTTTTCGAACGCGGAACCATTATTTGGTGTGGATAACATTTTTTTATCGCACCATCGTGTTTTGAAGCCAAATCGTATACGTTTAAAAAGTCAAGGAAAAAAAGAAGAAATAGGGGAAAAAGTGAAAACGTAAGCGACGTCTTCGGAAAGAATTGTTTTCGAACACGGTACCATTATTTGATGTGGGTAAAATGTTTTTATCGCACCATCGTGTTTTGAAGACAAATCGTATACGTTTAAAAAAGTCAAGGAAAATAAGGGTAAATAAGGGCAAAAGTGAAAACGTAAGCGACGTTTTCGGTAAGACTTGTTTTCGAACACGACACCATTATTTGATGTGGATAATGATATGGGATATTATATACACAAGGCTAAACCGGTCAGCTGGGCCGGTCGAGAAGGTTAAACCAAGAGGGAGCCAAGCCAAATGGCAGGAAGATCGAACATTCAGGGAATCGACTAGACTAATGATCAAGCAGTCCACCGCACGACCAGACTAACGATCGAGCAATCCACCGCACGACCAGACTAACGATCGAGCAGTCCACCGCACGACCAGACTAAGTATCGAGCAACCCATCACTCGACTAGATACATGATCGAGTAACCTATTCGACCTCAACGGGTCGATCGCTTCGAGGAACTAACAGTCGGCCTAGTCATGGGCGCGTGTATCACGGGCGCGCATGAGAGCCTCCAACTGAGTCCCAGGAGAATATTTACCCCATGTGCAGGGGGAACACGTGTCGACAATGTATCGGGTGATAGCAATAACCACCTCTGACAGCTCCCAACGCCCCGCGCCACCTCTGACATGTGCGCGGCGTGCCAGAGTACGGACGGGCAGCTTGGGCAGCCAGCTCATCCTTATCTGGGCAGCTATTAGGGCAGGTATCTTACCCCTATATAAAGGGGGTGAGCCTTTTTCCTTGAACACATTCTATTTTCCATACTTCACTTAAGTATACTCATACACATACTGACTTAAGCATCGGAGGCTCTTCACCGGATACAACCCCCAGTGTGAGAGTTATTTGCAGGTTTCAAGCGTTCTACCGGCTAGGACCAAGATCTATCCGTTCAAACCGGACCAGGACGCTTACACTTGCATTATTGGCGCTGTCTGTGGGGAGGTCAGGAAAATTCTTGGGTTACTTGGTGACCAAAAGAGGTATTGAAGTCAATCTGGAGAAGTTTCGAGCTGTGATGGAGATGAAGTCGCCGACAAGTGTTAAAGAGGTACAGATCTTAGCTGGTCAAATTGCGGGACTGAGTCGTTTTATATCGAAGGTGGCGGAGAAGGGCTGCCCATTATTCAAAACATTGAAGAAGAGTGCGAAATTCCAATGGGCGGAGGAGGCACAGAAGGCATTCGAGGAGTTGCGAGGGGTGCTGGCCAACCTTCCATTATTGGCTAAACCCATACAGGGCGAAGAGCTAGTGCTATACATTTCTATATGAGAGAGGGCTGTGAGTTCGGTGTTGTTACGGGAGGAAGGAATGGCGCAATTTCCTATCTACTATGTAAGTAGAGTGATGCAGGGGGCCGAGACGAGGTATTCGGAGATCTAGAAGTGTGCTTTAGCTGTGGTTGTAACTGCTCGAAAGTTAAGACCTTATTTCTTGAATCATAAGGTGAAGGTGCGAACGAATATGCGCTGGGAGAAACACTTGGTCGGCCATCAGTCTCTGGTCGATTGGTGAAGTGGGCGGTCGAATTGAGTGAGTATTCTTTGATGTACGAGCCAATGAGGGCCATAAAGGCACATGTGTTGGCTGATTTTATCCAGGAAGGCACGAAAGTCGAGGAGGAGTCAGAGGGATTATGGCAGTTGTTTGTGGATGGATTTGTGGCCCGAAGCGGGGCAGGATTGGGAATTGTCCTTGTCTCTCCCAAAGGCGATTACTTGGAATTTTCGGCTAAAGTGGGGTTCAAGATATCCAGTAACGAAGCTGAGTATGAGGCAATGATTAAGGGCTTGAGTCTAGCCAAAGCAGTAGGAGCTCGAAAATTACAAGTGCATTCCGATTCTCAACTGGTGGTTGGGCAGTTTCAAGAAGGGTTCGAAGTCAAGGAGGATCGGATGCAAAAATATGTGGATGAGATGAAGAAGTTGAGAGAGGAGTTTGATTCGTTCGAACTAATACAAATTCCTCGAGGAGAAAATGGTCGAGCAGACCTATTGTCGAAGATTGCTCAGAGCCTGGTTGATTGAAAGAGTAGAAGTGTCACTCTGTTGCATCTTGAAAAGAGTGTGATCGAAGCAGAAGTGGCGGATATCGAAGAAGTGGAGGATTGGAGGGCCCCGATCTTGGAGGAGCTGAGAGGAGGAGCGATAAAGGTGGTTAGGAGGTTTTTTGAGCATGGAGGCATTCTTTACAAACGATCATATGGAGGACCACACATGCGTTGTGTTACTAAGGAAGAAGGTCGATACGTGCTGAGAGAGATGCACGAAGGTTGTTGCAGTGACCATAGTAAGTCAGGGGCCTTGGTCGCGAAGATTCTGAGGGCAGGATATTTTTGGCCGACGATGAGGGAAGATGCGAAGACGATGGTGAAGAAGTGCTTGCAATGCCAAAAGCATGGCCCCCTTATCCACCATCCGACCGAAGCCATGACAACGATGAGTGCTCCTATACCATTCGCCCAGTCGGGTATCGACCTGGTGGGGCCGATGCCTCAGGGGACCGGGCAAAGGAAGTTCTTAATAGTGGCGGTCGATTATTCCACGAAATGGGTGGAGGCCGAGCCCTTAGCGAAGATTACAGAGGAGAAAGTAATTAAATTCCTATACAATAACATTTGCTGCCGGTTTGGTGTACCCAAAGTGTTGATTTTCGATAACGGCACTCAGTTCAATGGGAAGCAGATTCGAGCATGGTGTGAAAATATGAAAATCGAACAACACTTTGCCTCCGTGGCGCATCCACAAGCTAACGGTCAAGTCGAGGTAACCAATCGAATTATACTGAATGGGATGAAGACAAAGTTGGAGAAGGCCTCGGAAGCATGGGTCGATGAGCTGAGCTCCATACTTTGGGCGTATCGCACAACTCCAAGGTCGACCACAGGAGAAACCCCGTTCAGTTTAGCTTATGGAATGGAAGCATTGCTGCCGGTCGAGATCGAGTGATCT